AATGTATTAAATACAGAGTCTATTTTTATCATTGTACTATTATCTACTTTGCACTCTATAGTTTCCTAATAAACATTTAGTAACCTAAGAGTGCAAAAAATATAAAATATATAAACTAATGATTTTGTTGCGATATGCTATGAAATTTCACATCAACTCTATACGTGATTATGAAAAAATGTTGGAAAGCTGTACCGATATGTTATACATTTATAAGACTGCATTGTCAATTTTACTGCTGGGTATCTTAAAAAAATATTATTCGAAATAGAGAAGAGTAATAAACGCTTAGGTGGAATGGCAAGCTACGTACAAAAGAGAATTTAATATCGAGGTTGCTTGATAAGTCCGAAAAAAGTGACAAACTTAAAATATTTGATATATAATTATTAATTTTTTCATCATGACTTGCAAAATATCTAAAAATTTTGTGTTTCAACAAAAATATTACTTAACATAAAATAATAGCTATAATGATATAGCTATTACATCATATACCAGAACATGACAGTTGTTTACTCCATCATCTCGAACATACTCTTATAATATATTGCATAATTTTTTGTAGTAAAATGTTTGAAGCAAACATTGTCTCAATGTTTGCTTCAAACATTTAACGACGAAACCTCAGAGGTTAGGTTCACAAATTACTATAAAAATTGTTTTCATAGATAATTAAATTTGTAGTTATTTTATATTTTTATAATTAAATTTATAGTTAATTTAGAAATTACTACAGTGTAGTCTTAGCCCTTTAATATCATTAATATGATATCAAATGTGAGTATGTACATAAAATACTTAAAAATAAATAGATCAATATCTTCGGTTAGAAATTTATATTTATTTGCTTTGATTCGTAAAATATAGCTTTTATGTTTAAATAACAGCAAGGGAGTGATCCATTAATATCGTATGGTTACTTTTTTAATGGGTTTATCATTTTTATTATAGAGCTTGAGAATATTTGATTTTATTTATTAAACATATATTTATAAGTATATACTTATGTAAGCAGATATAGGATATGTATACATGTGTACTAAGAAAATATTACTCTAAATTATAAAACTATCCCGCAGATCCTTTCTGAACAATATCCTATCGAATGCAGTAGATATAATTTTCCTCATACGAGTATAAAAAAAGGTATTCTCTTCACAACAAGGTAAGATAGTTATATAGAGAATGGATTATTTCTTCATTTTTTTTGACCATTCAAAAATTTCATCAAATAATTTTCTTGAAGTACAACTCAGCATATTCCATTGTGTGATATTGTTGATCAAAGTATTTTTTTAATTAATTTTTTACTTTTTAATAATTGCAAATTATCGACAGCTGTTTGGTTATCAACATAACGGAAATTCACGAAAGTATTTGTGAAATTGATTAAATAAACTATGCTTTAAATGTATGAAAGAGGAGCGTGGCGCTTAGTCAAAGCAACTAAAACTGCTTGTCATTCTAGAAGAACAAATTTAATAGCTTTGTAATATCTAATTTGCTATTTTTTTGTTGTAGGTTTTCAATTTGTATGCCCAATTCACAGTAGTCGTTAATGAAGACGAAAACCAAGATACTCAAAATTGATGATTTTTTATAAACTCTCACTTAGATAGGTAAAAAAGAGAACGATATAATATAAAACACTAAACTTTTATTTAGAAATTATTAGTATTTCAGTGTCGGTCGATCAAGCAGTAAATATTTTTATGTTCATTCCGCGTTGATTTAAATAAAAAAAATTTAATCCTCAAAATGTCAACATCAGAAAATTTTAACGATGATGAACTAGTTGCGCCGGAATGGTTGAACAACGATTTTCTCCAAAAAGTAATAGAGAATTATGAAAAAACTAAGGACGTGGAAGTAAGCAATTTTAAACTCACTCCAGGCACTGTAAAGGGCGATCACTACGCCAGTGTTATGTTTAGAGCAAATGTGGATTACAACCTGAAAGGTTCACAGAAAACAAAATCAGTAATTATTAAAACAATGCCTGAGGTTGAGGGACAAAAGAAGGAGCTTTTAAAAGAAACACATGTCTTTGAAACTGAAATAAAAATTTATACAGAAATCTTACCGAAATTCGAGACAGTTTTGCGTTCTATTGGTGATGATACAAAAATTGGTCCTAAGTAAGTTTTAGTAGAATATTCTTAATATAGGAGTAGTACAAAAATATTTGATTTACGGAACTTATAATAATTTTTCTTATATACAATGAAATGATATGCATTCATATCATAAACTCTAACTAAAATCGTATTATCTGTATTAAAATTGACATTAAGGTACTTTATAACTCTTATTATTACAACTGTGTACAAATTCCAATTATTAATCTAATAAAGTATCTAGCAAATATTAAAGGAGTACGGGCCATCCTTCGACAAACAAAAAATATACTTAGTTCATCCAGTAATTTAACAATATACCACACGTTTCTTTAATTTAATTTAAATTAATTTAAAATCTTTCTTAATTAAGTTTATTTGTTTATTGAAATACATCCAATTGAAAGAATTCACTTAAATCAATTCTGCATCATTAAAAATCTGGTTATGCCAGTACATCTCACATAATGATCTATCAGTGAAAATCTTAATTTCAACTTAAAATATAACTCAAGTTTTAAAATCGAGAATATACAAAACAGTACTGAATGAAATATTTTGGAAAATTCAGAAATTTAGGCTTGGCTTGCTGCAAATATCAATATCCTGTGAAAATCTAAGGAAATTTCATACAATTTTATATAAAGCTTTGGTAAATTCAAAGTA